AAGAACATCCTGCTTCTTTGCAGGACGGGTCAAAATCTATTTGCACCATGAAGCACCGTCCAATCAGTTTTGCCTGAATCTGAAGAGTCTTTATATTCTTGAGAATTCATCAGCAGCACAAATGCTCCAATAGCAGCCACGCATCCCCAACGTGACGTCCCCTTCACCGTTTTCCTGACAGATTGATCTGCATCATCTCCACACACTCTTTGTTCTTGAGTATAACCAGTGGCTGGCACTTTGTTGTACACCGGTGTATTTCCACTCACAAAGGTCAGACAATGATATTCCCCATCAGCCTTTTACGGCTCAGGGATAGAAATTCAACGCTGTGAGTGAACTTTGATATTTTGTCTGCTTCACTGCTTTAAGTATAACATTTCCTAAACAGCAAGTGCAAGTAGAAGCATTTGGAAACGAGCAGAAAGCACACAGAAGCAAAACTACAGAACTGTACCTGGACAGCTGCTGCTCGGCCTGAGCAGCATCGGCCTTCAGAGCTTCCTTCTCCTGCTCGCTCTGCAGCAGCACACGCTCCACCTGCTTTTTTAAAGCTTCGTTCTCCTGCAGAACCTCAGAGATATGACTCCCTGTCAGAAGAAAATATGAAAAAAATCTTCCAGTGCCTCCAGCTAGCTGCATTTTTTAAATCTGGAAAACCACGGCCCTGCTTACAGACGTTCCTATATCCCTGCTGTTAGTGTTGCACTGCCATCGATGTGGGAATGTTCTTACTTCTGATGCAAGTCTAGAATATGTAAACAATACTTGTGTGTAAACTACTTTCAGTTACACACACGCACACACACACACACACGCACCGGTCGATTCACTCGACTGAACTATAACGTTTGTTCCCTGAAAGAATAACGAGGTACAACACGGTCCCTCGCCGTGCAGCGTTGCTCAGTGAAGAGCAGCTATCGACCTGCAGGATGACAGTATACGTGCAGGTGGGGCCAAACCTCACAGCTCATCTGTCTTAAAGATGTAAACAGAGATGTCTTCAGCCAGGCTTGATATACTATATGTAAGTGGACTGGTACTTTTCTACTACTACTACTGCTTTTACACAACGTGCCTACTGTTCACACACACTCATATGGAAGCCTCGGAAAGCAACGTGGGGTTAGTATCTTTCCCAGGGAAACTTGGCATGTAGACTGGAGCAGTTAGGGATCGAACCGCCGACCTTCCCTTCAGCAGATGACCTGCTCTACCTTCGGAGCTACAGCCGCCCCCATATGTGCATATTAGGATATATCGAGTTTTTAAAAAATATCGATATATTTTCATACGAGATATAAGATGTGACAA